CGCCACCACAGTCCAGCACAAACGCGGTCCTGGCACGCCAGTGCCGTTTGCAGCTTTGCTGTCACTGTCACGAACGCAACTGTGAGACCGTCCACCGCTGCCGCAACTGCATGCCGCCGTCGTGGTGTTGATACAGGCATGTGTAGCCTACAGAAGAAAACTCAGTTCTGAGCTTTTAGTTAACAATTCAGAGTTCTACCCGTTGACGTTGCATATTCTCCAATCCCGTGTCGAGCCGTTAGAACTCACAGGTCGATCACTTCACATTTGTGATAAAACCATGGTACGTTTTAACGAAATCAATACATGTAAAATTATCAATACATGTAAAATTGTATGCAACCATAACTCAAACTCGGGACTGTAAAACAGTCGAATGTATGCGTCCACGTCATGGTGAAATTGCAAGCGATCACAACGTGACGCGCCAGCATGTTGGCCATACTGGCCATGCGCGACTTGCATGTCAAACATGTCAAGCCATTGTACACTTTTGATTTTGTATTTTCCTTTATTACAACATGGTGATACGTCGTTACTTTTCTCCTCTTTCCATAGTATTGCATCACAATTCTCACATTTCTCTCTCAAAGTCAGGCCTGGTATCAAAAGATACCGGTGCTTGGTCTCGTCGACCACGCCCAAGCAGAACGCGATAGCTGCTCGAAACTTGTGCGCGGCTTCGCGCCTGGCTCGAGAGATTGTCGGCGTTACCCTTGCTTCAGTGGCCATAGTCCAGGCCACTTGTAGCGGGGCGACATCCATGGTGGGCGCTGTCGAGGGTGTGGATGGCTGTGCAGGAGGCGCCATTCTATTTATGTGTCATATCATAGTCCAAGTCGCATGGTGTTATATTGCTCCAACCTTGCTTGGCTTGGCGTTTGGCCACTGGGATGGCGTGGTGTGAACCCACCTTGCTGCTGTGCCTCGTTATCGTGTGCACGTGCGCGATCGTCCGTCGAGCACTTGTCGCTGGTGTAAGGGCCAGCTCTTGTGGCATGGCGTCGATGGCCAATATTGAAGTCGAATGGGATGCAAACACACTATGAAGTGTTTGTTTGTCAAGTCCAATGGTGGCGAACATACCGTTGGTGCATATTGGCTCCTGGGTTCACATCCATGCTGGGGCGCATGGCTTCCGCTCTTGCCATCGGAATCGTCACTCGAGCACCCCCCATAGGCAGTCTTACTTCAAGCGGCGCGGTGCCTGGGACGGACACTGTGATAGGTGCACATGCACTTGTGGATGACATCATTCTATTCACGTGCCACGTCATGGTTGGTTGTAATATGGCGTCCATACCTGGCTGGAGGTCGTGGTTGTATAGGGTAGACGACAGGAGCTTCAAACACACGGTTCTCTTCGTTTTGGTTTGGCTGGGATATCCAACCTAAAATTAAAAAAGATGTGATGTACCGAGTACGGGGCTGGCTAACGAACCAACTGTTCCACAGCCAATGGTGATGAATGCCGCGGTGGTTGTCGAAAGGCAAGTGGTGCCTGGATCTGTAACCGTACGACGTTCGAAACGATATTCACCACGTATCAATTATTCTTGCATATTGGAACTGACATATTTGTAGGAACTCTGGCTTGTTCGTCACGGGTGTTTCAATCATTTATTCGGCAAATTGTAACCGCCATGTATGCCCCATATTGCTATTGGAAATGGCAAGGGAGTGCCATATTGGCATTGCAAAGAGCTGCAGAAGCATTCCTTGTGGAGCATTTTGAAGCCGCATACCGATGTACACTGCATCGCAATCGGCTGACTCTTACTGTCCAAGACACAGCTTTGCTTTTTCGACTCCAGCGACATCGTGATCAAGATCGTCCAGGACATAAAAAAAGAAATGTCGACTAAGATATCCACGTATAACAGGTTCATTGTGCGCTAAATGAACATATCAACATCACCATGATATTGAATTGCGTTTAGCTTAAGTAGTCAATAGTATTCACTACTACATACTAATTAGTAACGTCGCGGAGATTAATTTGATAGGGTTGAAATGAACAAACAACATACTAAAACATCACTTCATTTTAACATGTTGACTAACTTGGTGGTACTAAATTGATTGTTCTGGCTTATAATGAAATTGTGCATATTTGACCTTAACTTTGGGTTAACTTTAAATCAATTTACAGTACGATGTAGTTGTATTATGCATATTTACTGTATCCCATGGCGACTATAAGTCGAACATTCACACAGTTCGTGTTTACATATTATTAAATACT